CATACATCCCATGCTCTGGTTATTAAAGGATGTTTGCAGATATTTCTTCTCATTTTGCGTTGTGCCCCATCATTAAGTAAAGACCCTGTAAGCTTTGCTCCATCCACATTATTAAGATCAATTTGAGGAGGCAGCTCTTCTTTAGTCATATTTTGAATGATCTCTAACTTGAGGAGATCATTGTACGGCACTATAAGATACCAGAAAATGTTCACTGCTATTCATAAGGTTTTCAGTGAATAGCCATCCAGAGGTGGTCCGTCTCTCCTTCTTTCTAATCTGTCTAAGTCTGGATGCTTGCTGAAACTTGTCACCTATGGATGACTCTGATGGTTTTTAAAGTACTGCTGGTATAGTGTCAAGCATCACAGCAGCACACAAGTCACCACAGTACAACAAACTGGAAGATGAGAAAAAAGTATGATGCTTCCTCAAAAAGTTAAAAATAGAAACAGCTTATTGTCCAGAAATCCCAGTCCTAAGCTTATACCCTATAGATACAAGAGTAGTGGCACAAATAAACACATGCATACCTATGTTCATTGCAAAATGATTTACAATAGTAAAGAGGTGAAAACAACCACGGTGCTCATCAACAAATGAATAGATAATCAAATTGTGGTACATACATACAATGGAAGACTATGCAACAATAAAAAATAATGGAGAGTCTGTAAAACATAACATGGATGAATCTGGAGGGCACTACACTGCATGAAACAAGTCAAACATTGTATTGTATACAAAAAGACAAATATTGCGTTGTATCACTATGATAAAGACTCAAGAATAAGTATATACATGGAAAGCCAAGTTATTTAATAATTTCCAGAGAAAGGCATCTGAAGTTTGGGTATCATTTTCAGTATGGGAAAGTCAATCCCATCTATGGATTAAGTCAACACAACTTGACCAAGGTTGGCACAAAGAAGTATACTATTTCAAGGGACAATTTACTACAAACTTTTGTTTTAAAAAGGGAGCAAATTTGCAGGAGCAGTAAAAGCAAAAAAATTATGTGTGGTTATTAGGTAGATATGGATGCATGTATTTTTATAAGAAGGCATATGCAAGTAAATGTATGTATACATTACATTTGTGCATGCTGCATATATTAGTATATCCACATATATAACAAACCACATAGGAAGCACAGTTACAGAGACTTCCCAGCTATATCCAGACAACTTTCAGATTGGTTTACTGGACCAGAAGACTTGGGACCATTGTCCTGCAGGACACCTTAGGCAGTTGTCATAATATATGTCACAAAGATAATGCTCTACATACTGGTTCAGGTCTTAAAAACTGGAGAGAAGCCATCTAAGATACAACCATTGGCAATAAAATGCTCAAAAAAGAAATTAGTCAATGGGACTAATCATCATATAAACCACAACCTCTTCTTACCTGAGTCCAGAAGAAATCGATGGTGCCTTGCTACCCTTACTAACCATTCTGACCAAGGACACAATAGAAGGTCTAGAATAGAATAGGGGGAAAATTGTAGATCAAAACTCAAATTCCTTAAAATGTTCAGACCTACTGGATCAGTAGTAACCAGAAACTCCAAAGATAATTGTCCTATGATATCCTTTGAACTTGGAATTAAAGCTATATCTGCTGATCACATTTTAGACAAATAATAGTTTAGCTTATAAAATAAACAGTATCACCCATGAACAATGTTCCCTTAAACAATTAACTATAGATGTGTCATTAAACAACCATTCAGGCAAGGTTTGACCACATACATATCTGTGGTCCCTTAAGATAATTTTGTGTTGCTTTGTTTATTTTTTCCCCTTGCTTTGTTTATTTTTTTCCTATCATTTTCTTTATATTTCCTCCTAATAGTTTTGAAGATCTCCAGTCCTCCAGGACTCAAGCATAATAACCATTGTGATGATGCACATGACTGGGCAGTGTTTCATTCTGTCCTGCATAGGGTCAGCACCTAACAGCAACAACTAGTCTCTAAAGTGAATGAGCAGTGGGACTCCATGGTGTGTCCTAATCCCCACATTACCTCATCCTTCCACTTCTCCTGGCTTCATTTCCTAGCCAGCAGCCATTAAGCCTTTTACTCTAGACACAGGGCAGCACCTACCATGGCTCTGTTGCTTCTGCTATGAATGCTGGTGGCACTGACGGTGCCTGGGTGCTTGCACACGCCTGGTCCTGGGCAGCAGTGGTGGATGCATATGATCAGGAAGTAGCTACATCAACAGTGCAGCAGAACCCAGGATCGCCACCTCCAATTGCACTCCCAGAACCCACACCAGTCCCTGCATGCTCCCTAAGCTTCCCCTACCCAGTGCAGAAAAATCACAATGTCTCAATCTGGCTGTCTGGCATACCCAGAAAGGTGGCCTCCTGTATACAGTGGATATAGCTATAGCTATCCAGTTTTGTCCAGTAGGCTCCAGAAATTTTTAAATAGTAGGCTTTTCAGAGATTTTACTATAGACTGTATGGGGACTGCCTGATTTAATAGTATGGTATTCACACATTATCAAATAACATCCTGTTTCACAGAACATATTGTGGACTTAAGTGACACATAGCTGTACGTGAAGCCAAACTGATAAGGCAATGATGGGAAGGGAGAAGCTAGATAAAAGGAAACAGAATGGAAATAATAAGAATGCTGACACATTGTAAAAATTGTAATCAACAGAACATTGAATTATTTCATATGTGTCTTCTACTTTTAGCTTTGTTACTCCCTCCAAACAACTCTTTTCCTTGAGTCTTGGTAAGAGAAAATGGGAGAAGATACTGATACTGAAGATAATAATTCAGTTGTGAATTATGGTTAACAGAGTTCATTGTTATTGTAAAAATTTGGAACTCTAACACCGGCATAAAATGAACCATCTCAGAAGCAGGATGAAGGGCTCTCACTACCTGAAACAAGAAAGAGCCAGGAGAGGAGCATGTCCTTTGAACCCAGAGATCCATGTGCATTGATTCTCTGAAACTCAGGGACAGAGAGCTGTGATACTGGAAGAAGAGAGAGGATCAGCAGCAGCAAAAACAAGAGCCAAAGCACTGGACAAAGCAGTGAACTTCCTGGTCCATGGAGCAAGTAAAGCTGAGTACCTTTGGCAGGAGTCCCTCCTTGGAACCCTATACAGGGCCGCTATGAGTCCGAATCAACTCAAAGGCACTTAACAACAACAAACAACAAAACAACAACGAAGTGAGATCTATTCTATATATGCAAAATTGGTTCATCATTTGAAAGTCAATTGATGTATCCTGTTTTGGAAGAAGTGCAGCCAGAATGCTCTTTGGAGGCCAAGATGGCCAAATTTCATCCCTTATACTTTGAACATATTGTCAGGAGGGACCAGTTGCTGGAGAAGGATATCATGTTTGGTAAGGTGGAGGGTCAGAGTAAAAGAGGAAGACCCCCCAACGAGATGGACTGGCCAAGTGGCAGCATCAGTGGACTCAAACGTGGCAACAGTAGTGAGGTTGGTCCAGAATTGGGCAGTGTTTCCTTCTGCTGTGCATAAGGTCACTATGGGTCGGTACCAACCCGATGCCACCTAACAGCAACAAACAACATCACATCAACAGGATAAAGAAGAAAAATCATATGGTTCTATCAATAAACCTGTTGCTGTTGATTCCAACTCATAGTGACCCTTTGTAGGACAAAGTAGAACTGCTCCATTGGGTTGACAAGGCTGCAATCTTTATATAGGGGTGAGGGGTGGGGCTTGGAGGAGGAAGAACCCCAGGCTGGAATCCTGGTCCTTCTCAACCCTGGTTCCCAGCTTTATTTCAGAAACCTCTTGCTGATATCCATTAGGTAAGGCTGAGGCAGGAGCAAGATGAAGGTGTCCACAGAGTCCTTAGTGTCAGTTGTTCCTGCCGCGTAGATAGCCTCTTTGGACCCATCTCTGCAGCTGGTCTCCATTCTCTGAGACACTCCACCTCTATCCCGCGGACATCTAAATGAAAATAGACCAGGTATTTAGTAGGTGTTCAGGGGTTGGGGGCACTTGGGGCCCACTCATTCACCAACAGGCTTCAGGTTCTGCGTCCACATAGTGGGTATCCATGTTGGTACCTGCTCTGTTGGTCAAGATTAGGATTAAAGGAGCTAGGGGTGGGGGTGGGGGCGGGTATGGAGTTGTCCACCGTGGGGCAATTGACTGCGCGCTATAGGTAGTTAGTTCTTAGCCAATCCCAGCGCTCGCGGCTGCTGGTCACCTAGATTAAAGCAGAGAAGTGGGTTGCCAAGGGCTGGGAAAGTTGATTCCGGCTGGAAGGTAGATGGAGGTGGGGCGGGGCGGGCAGACGCTGTCCCTGGTATGGCGTGACAGGGAACTACCAGGGGCGGAGTAGCGGGAGAAGAGGACTCTGCAGAGACCACAAGATTGGAAGTGCGGGGCGTGGAAGGGACAGAGAGTAACGCTGCGGGCTGGCGGTCGCCGGCTGAGTCGGGTGCCCGGGCATCAGATAGTTCACCTTGGTGCCTGCAGAGGGCTGTTCTGGCAGAGTGAGCCTAGAGAAGTTAGCTTGCGCGGACACCATGGGCCCCGCCGCTCTGCACCCCAGTCATGAACAAACTCACGACACAGAGCCCCGGGGACGAGGAAGGGCTGGAAACTGCCTGGCGCCCTGAGGCCAACACCAGCCGCGACCCAGAGGAGGAGGCAGGCGCGGTGGTGACCTTCGTCATTCAATGCATCTACGCGCTGGTGTGCTGGGTGGGCAATGTCATGGTCATCTTCGTGTTCCTCCGCTACTCCAAGATGAAGATGGCCACCAACATCTACTTGCTCAACCTAATCGTTGCAGCTCTTCATACTGAGGGTAACCTTTGTGGCCTCATGGGTCGTCCTGCACCACTGGTCTTTTGGATCAGTGTTCTGAAGCACAGTGCTCAGCGTGAACCAAGACACCGCCCCGCCGTGGTGTACTCTCTGTGTACCGCCACCTACAAGCGGCCCAGCGTAGTTAAAGCTGATTAACTTGGGTGTATGCTATTTTCCTTGCTGGTCAACCTACCAATAGCCACCTTATCAGCCTGCAACCTGTATTGGTAGCACCCAGCCTGGTCGGTGGTCTTCGTGGTTTATTCGTTTCTGCTGGGCTTACTTTTGCTTGTGCTAGCCATTGGCTTATACTATACATTCTCATGGTGAGAAGTGGCTCTGCCCGCTGCCTGGCAGCAGTGGTTGCTCAGAGATCAGTAGGCTGATGTCAATAGTGGTGGCTGTCTTTGTGCTTTGCTGGATACCTTTCTACGTGGTGCAGCTGCTGAACCTCTTTGTAACCAGCCTCGATGACACCGTCAATCAAGTGTCTCTCATCCTCTGCTATGCTAACCACTGCGCCAACCCCATTCTCTATGGTTTTCTCTCTGACAACTGCCGCCGTTTCGTCCAGCGGAGTTTTCTGTCTGTGCAGAAATTGTGGCAGGAGGTGCTAAGGAAGAACCTGTGGACTTTTATGCCACTGCCCTCAAGAGCCATGCTGGGGCCTGGTGCATATGTGCTAACTGCCTAGCCAGCAGGAGCCTGTGCAGCCTGTACAGCCAGAGGCAAGACCCTCTCAACAGGGCCGCTTGCTTCTGAAAAATACTGTTGCCCTCTTCTTGGTTCACCTAAGAACCAAGTCCTGAATATCACTTAAAAACCACCACCTGACGCCCCCAAACCAACCCCTTCCAGCAATCTGCGTGCTTGGCCTTGAAGGAAGGCATGGAGTTTGGCTGCTTTTCTTTTCACCCCAGGACTCTAGCTGTCAGGAGAGCACTTCCTGGGGGGTGGAATCTTATGGAAATTGATCTAGGATGTTATTCAATCCTGAATCTCTGGCTGTTTTTTCAAGAATGGGAGGAATGGCTGCCTGCATAGGACTTGTTTCAGCAACCCAGCTTGGGAGAAGAACATCAGGAGTGTGGAGATATGCTGTGCCTTGTTCTCATTATATTCTTTACCAAGTTCAACATACAGCATGTACTTGAGAGAGATGGGAGAAAGAAGGATGCCTCCTAACACACATTCTTTGCTTCTGCTCCTGGCTTGTTGTTGTTAGGTGCCATAGAGTCAGTATCCACTCACAGTGACCTTATGCACAGCAGAACGAAACACTACCCACCTGGGTACCTTGTTGCTAAGTGATACTTGTTTGTGACAGCCTGAGACGCCTGCATTTCCACCCTCCAGATCAAACTTCTGTCTGCAATCACCCATTTCCTGGGTCATCCTGGGTCAGTAGCAGACTTCCTATGAGTGAAAAGGTTTGAAGTGAGAGGCATGAAGTAGGATTTATTACCAGCCATGAAATTGAGTTGTGGTGTTGGAGGAGAATACTGAAAGTGCCATGGACTGCCAAAAGAACCAATCGATCTGTTTTGGAAGAAGTGCAGCCAGAGTGCTCCTTGGAGGCCAAGATGGCTAAGCTTCATCTCTCATACTTTGGACATATTGTCCGGAGGGAACAGTCACTGGAGAAGGATGTCATGCTTGGTAAGGTGGAGGGTCAGAGAAAAAGAGGAAGACCCCCAACGAGATGGATTGGCCAGGTGGCATCATTGATGGACTCAAGTGTGGCAACGGTGGTGAGGTTGGCCCAGGATCGGACATTGTTTCGTTCTGCTGTGCATGGGGTCACTATGAGTCAGTTCTGACTCGATGGCACCTGACAACAACAACAACAACGTGAAATGAGGTCAGTAATAGAGAAGCAAAGAGAATAAAATCTCATCTAGCTCCTATGATGTGATTTTTGCCCTCACTGTTCCATGGGGAAAATGAGAACTCATTAAGAAGGTACTTTATACTGGGGTCAGGGAAAACAGACAGAAGAGCAGGGATGAAAACCAGCCTAGATTTTGCATCGAGAATACAACTCTATCACTCACGATTTTTTTTTTAATCCAAGTTCATTAGAACATCAGATGGCTGTGAAATAATAAACATACGTAGTCGATCATAGTAAAAGGCCTTAACTTTTTCCTGGTGCTAACCAAAGGAAAAATGATCAATCCCAGGAGGAAAAGGATTTAAGAGGAACATTAATTTTACTTTGCTAGGAGCAGAGGTAGGGACTATGCAATGTTTTTTAATGCTTGTATTGGAATCTGGATTGGAAACATGCTATTAAACATGTGTTGGATTCTCTTTACGGGATCCTCACTTAGTTTGTTTTACGTAGCAAAAGTTGATTCTGGCTTTGATTAGCCCAGTCCTGGTAGTGAAGGGAATTGATGCTGGAGAGGGAGAGATGAGGAATCTCTAGAGCAACCTCCTTTGCTCTTCAGATAAAACATCCAGGACCTGATAGCCTGGCCTTGGTTGTTCTTGGAGAGCCAGTAGATATTCAGAGCTTTGCACATGTGAGCTCTTGTGAGGGTAAAGAAGATCCAGGATAATACCAAGAAAAAGGAAGGACAAGGACTTCTGCCTTCCATGGGACCCAGATCTCCTTTCTCTAAGAACTGAACATGAACATCCCCCTGATGTATTTGGGCCTCAGCTAGAGCTGTGCCTTATACAAGGACAGATTGTTGCTGTTGTTATGTGCCGTGGAGTCGTTTCCAACTCATAGCGACCCTGTACAGGGTTTCCCTGTACAGGCTGTAAATCTTTACAGGAGCAGAACACCTCATCTTTCTCCCGCGGAACAGCTGGTAGTTTTGAACTGCTGACCTTGCGGTTTGCAGCCCAATTCATAATCACTACGCTACCAGAGCTCCAAGGACAGATTATCCAGTAAGAGAGATGTGGTGAAAAGTCCATGTGAAATTATTTTACACATTAGTAAGTAAGCACAAGTAGTACATGTTTATCTTGCTTACTGGGTAGTCCATGCCTGTCGGGGAGTATAAATTTGAAAAAGAGGCTTTGATTATTTAGAGAAGTGCTGTGGGATTGAGAGAGATAGAGATGCCATCCATACCTAGAATTAGAATCACTGATGTATAAAACTGTGCGATATTCACTACAGATTAGTAAGGAAACAAAAGGACAGCTGTGCTAAGATGATTTGGTAATGCAATCACTAACCTGTGCTTGTTTCTGTCTGTTTGGCATGACTTAACCAAAGATGGTTCCGATCAGTGGCTACTTTGTGGGACCGTTCCTCTTTCTAAGTTAAATTTCCTATGCAGTAAATTAAAACCAAAGGCTCCTGAATTAAGAAATTGCAACTGAAAATCTTCAGAGATTAGTATGTTGAGACCTCTCAAAGATATCAAAATAGCAAAATAAGTTTTCTGTGGAATACTATTTCTACATTGATTACACAGAATGACGTAATATAGAATATCGTTTCCGACGTATATAAGAAAAACAAGGAATTGCAAATCAAAGCTCTGTAGTTCCCTCCGCTCCTATGCTGGAAGCCACTTCTCTGTGCCATCCTCTCCCTTCTTAACCTTTTGTCTGAACTCCTTTTATTCCCTAAAGACTCTACTAAAGATTCAAAGTCAAAGAATCCAAAGCCCATTCCTGAAATGCTTTTTAAGATTCACCCGACAGAGTCTGGAATGGGTCCCAGAGAAAATCCAGAAAATATTATTACTTCGTTTATTCCCTGGACCTGCACAGAACTACACAGTATTGTTAAAGATTTTCCAAAAGTGCATGAGAATTCTTACAATTTTGTTGAGGAATTTAAAGTCCTTGTCAATTAGTCCATACACTAGTTGTCACTGGGGAGGTCAAATTATGGTTACAATATGCTGATTGAAAAGATCCCCAAAAGAATTTAGCTCTGGACATAAGCAAACAGTCCAAACCCTTCTTGCAGAAGTTTAAGATAGGGTGTCTGGGGACAATGCAGAGACTTTTCCCATGGAGCCACTAAACCCTCAAGGAGAAGTAACTTGCTTAATGGATAAATCTTCCAATTTTTAATTGATAGAGAAGTTACCCTATCTGCAATTAATCCCATGTGTTTACAAAAGGCCCTTCCCCAGAGAAATAAAGATCTTAAGAATAGTGGGGATTACTAATAAAATACAAACACTGAATCATTTCCAGCCTGTGAAAATTGGCTCCCTTGAGGATCTGCATCCTTTTTTGTTTAGTCCTGAGACTCCTGTTAATTTAATTGTTGTTGTTGTTAAGTGCCATAGAGTCAGTTCCCACTCAGCTGTGTATGTTGTTGTTGTTGTTAGGTGTCATCGAGTCGGTACTGACTCATAGCAACCCTATGCACAGCAGAACGAAACACTGCCTAATCCTGGGTCAACCTCACTAGTGTTGCTACACTTGAGTCCATCAATGCTGCTACCTGGCCAATCCATGTGTATTAACTTTGCCTGAAAATCAAAACTTAAGGAGAGTGTTAGGTGCTGCCAAGCCAGTTCCAACTCTCAGAAGCCCTATGCACAACAGAACAAAATACTGTCCAATCCAGCACCATCCTCATAATTGTTGTTATGCTTGACCCTATTG